CTAAGAAAAAGCCCCCGTCCTTAGGAGCCTCCCTCCTCCGGGCAGCCCTCCGGGGACCCCCCGGGGCGGAACCAGCAAGTCCCGTGCACCTCGCTCTGCAGGAGCGTGGAAAGCTAGCGTTCCTTGGTCAGGGACGAGGTCAGCCGTCACCTCGCGGGGCCTCACGCTGGGATGCAGCGATTGGTCGGAGCCCAGACCTCGCGGGAGGAGCCCCCCCCCCGCCCCGGGGAGAAAGCCCCCTAAGTCTGCAGGCTCGCCACCACGCAAATCTCTCTCCTCCTGGGCGGGCTGGACCCTGCTCGCCGTGCGCCTCCCGGAGCACCAAGTTTCTGAGCAGCTCCGTCTACCGCCGGCTGGACGGAGGGGGGTCAGCGGGCCCCACCTGGGGCGGGGGGACAGCTGGGGGGGGGCTGTTGTCCCTCGGCTGGGTCAGACCCTCCTCCCCCGAGGCTCGCCCCGCCCCACCTTGCCGCCCCGCAGGGCCTCGCGGCATCCGCGTCCGAAGCGGCCGGCGCGGAAAAAAACCGGGGCCGGGGTGTGGGGCCGGGAGCTCCCTTTCCCCAAGCTGCGGGGTGGGGTGGGGGGTCCTCCCGGCCGCCCACGAGGTGGGATTCCGGGAGGGCGCCGCCCACCGGGTTCGTTTGCTGCAGAGCAGAGAGGCTGGGCGCACCGAGGGGCTCGGCGAGCGGGGACGGGGGGCGCCCCGCGGGCAGCGGGCAGAGCTGGGGGTCGCGGGCGTGACCCCGGGGAGGCTCCCACGCTCGCGCCAGCGGCGGCGGGCCGGGGGTTAAGCGCGGCGCCCCGCCCCCGCGCGGCGATTGGCCGGCGCGGGGGGCGTGGCCGGGGCGGGCCCGCGTTTGCCGCAGCCGCGGGTGGGCGGGGCCGGCGGGCGCGGGAGGGGCGCGGAGCCGAGCCGGGCCCGCGCCTCGCGCCCCGCCGGGCGGGCTTCGGGCTGCGCCAGCGAGCCGGGCACGGAGCGCCGGCGCCCGACACCCCGCGCGGGACCCTGACGCAGCGAGTAAGTGCGGCCGGGCCGCCGCCGCGCCCCTCCCGGGCCCGCTGCCCCCTGCGCCGCTCGCGGGGCTCCGGCCGCACTCGCAGCCGGGGAGGGGGCGCGTCCCGCGGCTGGGGGTCCCCGGGGGCCGGGGAGGAGGGGAGAGGCGAGGAGGCCGATGATGTCATGCACGTTTCGCCCGGCCCGGGGGGGTGGGGTGGGGTGGCGTGGGGGGGGAGGTGGCGGCGGCCGGAGGGGGTGCGGCCCGGATTATGTCACCTCTTCCCTCTGCGCCCCGCCCCCCGGGGCCACACACGTTGGTGGGGAGCCCGGGGAGGTGCCGGCGGGATTTCCCCCACCCCACCCCACCCCGTGGCGGAGACCCTCGGGGCACTCCCCCCCAGGACGGCAAGTGGCGCGGGTCTCCGTGCTGGTGCCGCGGGCCGTGGGCTGCTGCTGGTGAATGGCGAGCCCCCCCCCACCTCCCCGCACGGAGGCGCGTGTGTGCGCGCGTGTGTGCGCCCGGGGGCTGGGGGTGGGGGTGGGGGGGCGCTCTCAGCCCGCTCAGTTCTGAAACAGCATCATCAGAGCCGGAATCTAGGAGATGGGCCCATTCCCCACCTCTCCGCCCGCCGTCATCATCAAGGGAAGATGAATGCCCCTTCACATATCCCAAGCAAGAAGTTCTGGAGGCCTTATCACACCCCCCCACCCCACCCCCCAAAGCCCTACACTGCCCCCTTGCTCCTTTTCTCACTGATCTCCCTGACTGGGTTCAGGGCCTCTTTGCATTGCTTGCAGCTGTCATTCCCTCTGCAGCCCTCTGCAGCTCTTCGCTGCCAGCGCCCCCAGGACCCTGCGTCCCTGCTCCTGGGACACCCACCGGCCAGCCCTGGGCAAGTCTCAGAATAAAATCTTTCTGGAGTGCTCCCAGGCCTCTTCCCACTGACGCCATCAGGGGTGTCTCCCCGGGAGTCTGTGAGGGAACGGGTCTTTAGAAGGATGCGGGGTGAACGCACAGCTGGGCAAGCGATGGTGTAATGAGAGTGAGAGCGCTCAGGCCCTGGAAAGAGGAGCGACAGTGCGGGAGGGATGGGGCCCCGCCTCTGCTCCCATTCTGGAGCCCGAGAGGAATGCCAGCATCTCCCCCATAGCACACTTAAACTGAAGATTCCTGTAAGGTAGGTGTGAGAACCAGAGGCGCAATAACCTGCATGCCAGCACCCCCCTGCCCCGTTGCTTGAGCTGGGGTTAACACCTGTGCCCAGGCCCTCGGAACTCTGAATGCCATGCTTAGTATTGCTTCTGCAAGAATTTGGGCAGAGCAGGAGGGCATCAGTATTGCCCTTTGGAAAGAGTCCCCAGGCTGCTGCCTGGGGGATAGGGGTTGGTGTGCACGTGACGAGCGGGGTAAAGGGGAAGGCCAGTGAGGAGACCCTAGCAGACGGATGGGCCAGAGGGAAAGGTCTCTGCTGGGGGTCTTTGAGAGCTCTCTCTTTCTTGGTTTTTTTGGGCTACACCCAGCGATGCTCAGGGGTTACTCCTGGTTCTGCACTCTCAGGAATCACTCTTGGCGGTGCTCAGGGGGCCATATGGTGTGCCAGGGATCAAACTCCAGTCTGCCCTGTGCATGGCAAGCGCCTTACCCACCGTACTATCTCTCTGGTCCTTGAGATCACTCAGGAAAAGGTGGGTGTTCCTAGCTTCAGAAGGAACCCTTTAGGCAAATGCCCATGTAAGCCCCCCGGGTCGAGTCCATTTGGCCCCTCTGTGAGAGCTGTTGCTGCAGGCGTGGAAGGTGGAGAGAGGCAGATGGAAAGGGATAATCTGCCTCGGAGACGGGCAGCGTCGGGCCACAGCCTGTCCTTCCCAGCTTGTGCTCTCCTGCCATGAGGCTGCCTTTGCAAACCACCTTGTTCCTGGGCCTCAGCAGGACCTTGACCCAGACATGAAGCTCCAGCTCTTCCCCTGGGCTCAGGGTCTGCCCATCAGAATGCTTCTGCCTCTCCCCTCTCTCGTCCTCCCAGCTCCGGCTGGAGTCCTGAAGCAACCCTCACAGCACACGCCGGGTGAGGGAAGGCACAGGGTCCACTTGCCCGCCGTGGACCACAGCGAGTTAGCACTGTTGGCTAGAAGCTCAAATTGTGGATGGACTGTCGGAGGGCAGTCAAGGATGCTCCAAGTAGAGCATGAGGTTTAGGGGGCTGGAGAGACGGTCAGGAGCTCTCGTCTCCCTCCTGGACTCTCTGCATCTGGCCAGCATCACACCTGCCCCAGGGCAGCAGGGGGGCAGATGGACACAACTCCAGTCCCGGCCTGCGAGCAAGTTGTTTTTGCCTGGGTCGCAGCGACAATAGTGCTGCCTGTTTTGAACTGAGCTTTCCCGTTTACGGAGCACGGTCTCCCCCTCACCCCCACTCCACCTGCTGCGTGCCCACGATCACCAAGCTTGCTTCGGAGGCTTGCTCCTGCCCACCCCCAGGTCTCTGGCACACACTCATCTCTCTGTTGGCACCAGTGCACTCAGGTTTCCATCATATTTAATTTTATTATTATTTGCTTCCCGGCCACACCCGGCATCCTCACTCAGCTACTCTCTGCTCAGTACTAGGGGACCATCCTGTGCACACTTCAGTTTAAAATGAGAAAAGGTGGGGCTGCAGGCTGCAGGTAGGGTACTCGCCTTGCATGCAGTTGACCTGGGTTCAATCCCCAGTATCTTGAGCACAGGCAGGGGTATCCCCCGAGCATCACCAGTGGCCAAAAAACAAAAACAGTTAAATGACAAAAGTGCTCTTGGATCCCAAACTACTTTAACACGTGCCTCCTGGGCCTTCTGTCTTGGCAGGCCACTCTCTCGTCATTCCCTCCGGACCCTGGTCCCCCGGTTTTGCCTCGTGGCACTTTTGTAAAACCATACACCCCTATGGGATCATCAGCCAAGTGCCCGGTGTGGTGTCTAGGCTGTCCTACCTGGCCTAATGCTAATATTGGGGATGGCCTCCACATTCTTGAAGCCCCACTAGCCCACCGTGGGGTCCGCAGGGCTTGCCTGCTCTGGCTTTTCTGCACCCACACTCTGCGGCGGGGGGTAGGGGGGAAGTCTCTGCCACCCTCACTTGATGCCAGGGCCCCCCACACCGCATGTGAAGGCGGACGTGCCCAGTCTCTCTCCATCTGGCACATGCGAGGTGGCTTTCTCTGGTCTTTCCCCAGGCACTCGCCTCACCCAGACACTCTCCACTTCTGGTGATAGGTGTCACCTCCATCCCCCTTCCTTCTGGCTCCTGGCTCCCTGAAACTCATGGGGGGGGGATGGAATTTTGTCAATTCTTCCCAAACATAACACTGCCTGTGTGTCTGGGCTGTAGCCAAGCCTCTGACCACTCTGCAGCCCCGCTGCCTCCCAGGACGCCCCAGGCCCCTAGGGAAGCCGAAAGAAGGAGGGGGTATCACTAGAGAGGGGACGGGTGTTGCTGGTCTGGGAACTGCTGCAGCATGCTGGGAGCTGGGGTGAGGCAGAGGGAGTCCCCAGGGACCCCACTGTCCCCAAGGTGAACGTCATGCATTGCTGAGCCGGCATTGAAATTAGTCTCAGCACCCGTGCGTGGGGGAGAGGCTGGCCCAGGGAGGGCGGTGGTGGGTTCTAGTTCCCCACGCCTGGGGACTGCATTGCCAGGCAGCCTTCATGCCACCTGGGCTTGGCCGTCCACCGTGGTGGCCAGAAGACTCCCGGAGGGCAAAAGTTGGGTGAGGCCCTTCTAGTCTGGCATCTGGCTGGATCATACCCAAGTGGGCGTCTGGGTTGGAAAGGCTGGGAGAGCCCGCCAAGAGCCTTGGGGTACCTCCGGGGACCTCCTCATAGTAAACCAGGGCTTTCTGCCTGTCTCTCGGTGAGAATGGGGAGCAGACGCCTGCAGGGTGCCCCCACCCCATGCCCGGTGTGACTATTTGAGCGTCTACACCCGCAGCAGAGATTGCCTGCTGACCCTGCTGTGCTGTCCAGCTGGATTGCCCCGCTGCGGATCTCTGAGGCAGGTGTTCCCAGGTGCGGACTTGAGACAAAGGAACGAGGAAGCAGGGCCTCTCTGAGACAGGTAACCCGAGTACCTGTTCACCTTGCTCCCGGAGCTCCTGTGGGCCTTGGGGGTTGGGGCTGCGCAGGGGGAGGGAGGGCGCATACCACCGATGGGCCGAGAACTTCATGGAGAACTGAGCAGGTTCAAGGTCCGTGTGTGTGCAGAGCGGGGAAGGGAGGTGGAATCCAGGAAGTCTTCCTGGTGGCGGTGAATTCTTGGCGCACAAACAGGCACGCCTTCCCGGGTCGCTCCTCCCCCTCCCACCTGTGGGAATCCGCGGGCGTCTGCAGCCAGCCCAGGGGCCCTGTGCAGCGCCAGAGGTAGGGGAAGACCCCCGGGAGGGTCCTCGTGCGCCCGCGGGAGGCCTGGGCATGCCCGTGGGGGCGCCCTCAACTCACCCCGCGTGTGTCCTCGCGGCTGCTCGCGTCCACCTCGGTCCACTAGGCACTCGCCGCTCGCCTTCTGGCGGGGCTGCCCCGGCCAGCGGCAGCCCTGCGAGGTAGGTCTTTTCCTTCCTCCCCTTTCGCAGAGAAGAAAACTGGAGTCCGGCATGGCTCAGCCTGTCCGTCCCAAGTGGCGCCGCCCGATCGGGCCGAGCCTGGACTGCGAGAGGGAGGCGCCTGGCCTCTGCAGACCGGGCCTCCGAGGGGCCCAGCCTTGAGGCTCCAGCGGCCCCACCCCACCCCCTTGGAGAGGCAAGGTAGTGAGCCTCCACTTCTGTCCTTAACAGCAGCATCCTAGGTTGGGGGCGGGGAGGGACCCCCGCCCACTGTGTCCGCATAGGGGTGCACTGGCCTCCCTTGCTCTCCCCTCCCACCCCCTCTTCCCAGTGTGGAACCTCCAGACCCAGACTAAAGACCTAGTTCTGCAGGTAGCAGCTAGGAGCTGAGGGGGGTCACCTGTCTGGGGAGGCTCGGGGACGTGGGAATGGGATACTTGGTGCCCACAAGGGTGGGAGGCTCTGTGCACGGCGCCCTGGGTGGTTGGGGCTTTGCCTAGTGGGCCACACAGACACACACGCACACAGACAACACGCACACAAATACACCCATTACCATCCTATCATTCTTTTTTTGTGGAGGGGGAGCACATCCAGTGGTGCTCAGGCCGGCAGTGCTCAGGGGCTACTCCTGGCATACTCTGGGGTCCAGATGGGGTGCCTGGGATCAAACCCGGGTCAGTCATATGCAAAGCAAACACCCTCCTCACTGTAGTACCACTACTCTGGCCCCACTAAGCTATTATTCCTTTTTTTTTTTTTTTTTTTGGCTTTTGGGTCACACCCGACGATGCACAGGGGTTACTCCTGGCTCAGGCATTCAGGAATTACTCCTGGTGCTGCTCAGGGACCATACGGGATTCTGGGAATCGAACCTGGGTTGGCCACGTGCAAGGCAAATGCCCTCCCCCACTGTGCTATCGTTCCAGCCCCTAAGCTGTCATTCTTAGCTGATCTCATTCTTCACATTTGGTACCCATACTCGTGTACCCATTGTAGGGAAGGCAACACTGAGAGGCGGGTGGTCCTGGGGCTGACTTGGCTGGGGGGAGTCGGAGTGGGGTGTGGGTTCTGACTGAGCTGTGCTTGCCCACCTGTACCCACAGGGCCCCCCACCCCACCCCGGCTTAGTCATGGCGAAGTTGGAGACGCTGGCCGTGCGTGCAGACCCAGGGCGGGACCCCCTCCTGGCCTTTGCCCCACGGCCCTCCGAGCTCGGACCCCCAGACCCTCGCCTGGCCATGGGCAGTGGGGTGGCCCACGCTCCAGAGTTCGCCATGAAAAGCGTGGGCACCCGCACGGGGGCTGGGGGCGGCCAGGGCAGTTTCCCTGGCGCCCGCAGCAGCGCCATGGGGGGCAGCAGGGAGAGGCCAGGCCGCTACCCCTCGGAGGATAAGGTTCTCGCCAACTCCCTCTACCTCAACGGCGAGCTGCGGGCCAGTGACCACACCGACGTCTGCGGCAACGTGGTGGGCAGCAGTGGTGGCAGCAGCAGCAGCGGAAGCAGTGACAAGGCCCCCCCGCAGTACCGCGAGCCCAGCCACCCACCCAAACTCCTGGCCACATCCGGCAAGCTAGACCAGGTCAGCCCCCAGGGCTCTTTCCTGAGTGGTGGGCTGTCCCAAGAGGAAGGGAAAGCGGGTCTTCTGGGAGATGGACATGGGGTCTAGGGAGGCCAGGACAGTTGGGGACCCTTGGTGCCGAGTACAGCTGTGCAACTGTGGTCAGCCAGGAGCTGAAGACCCCAGCCAGGAGGGACTGTAATGTGAGTGGGAAGTGGGTCATCTGTGCCCCTACCCTTTCATAATTTTTGGGGTGGGGTTTGGGTCACACCTGGCGATGCACAGGGATTACTCCTGACTTTGCATTCAGGAATTACTCCAGGCAGTGCTCAGGGGACCATATGGGATGCTGGGGATTTAACCTGGGTCAGTCGCGTGCAAGGTAAACACCCTACCCGCTGTGCTATCTATCGCTCCAGCCCGGAAAGTGGGGTCTTCTGGGAGACAGACATGGGGTCTTGGGGGCCAGGACAGTTGGGGACCCATGGGGCTGAGTATAGCTGTGGGACTGGTGTCGGCTCGGAGCTGGAGATCCAGCCAGGAGGGGCTGTAATGTGAGTGGGAGGTGGGAGGTTGGTCACTTTGTGCCCAGGAGGTTGGTCATCTTGTGCCCCTACCATTCCATGATTTTTTTTTTTTTGGGTCCCACCTGGCAATGCGCAGGAGTTACTCCTGACTGCACTCAGGAATTAATCCTGGTGATGCTTGGGGAACCGTATGGGATGCCAAGGATCAAATCCGGGTTGACTGTGTGCAAGACAAATGCCCTCCCCACCGTGCATTGCTCCGCCCCCTCAATAAATTCTGGCAGAGGGCAGTGGCAAGGGCCCAGACCCGGTCCTGACCCCAAGCCTCTTTCCTTGCTTTCCGCCCACAGTGCTCAGAGCCAATAGTCCGGCCTTCAGCCTTCAAGCCTGTTGTACCCAAGAACTTCCACTCCATGCAGAACTTGTGTCCCCCACAGACCAACGGGACCCCTGAGGGACGACAGGGCCAAGGTGGCCTCAAGGGTGGACTGGACAAATCTCGGACCCTGACTCCGGCGGGCGGGGGTGGGGGCGGCCTCTCCGACTCAGGCCGGAACTCCCTCACCAGCCTGCCTACCTACAGCTCCAGCTACAGCCAGCACCTGGCGCCCCTCAGCGCCTCCACCAGCCACATCAACCGCATCGGCATCGGCACCGCCAGCTACGGCACCGGCGGGGGCGGGGGCGGCGGCGGCGGCGGCGGGTCGGGCTACCAGGACCTGGGGACCTCCGACAGCGGCCGCGCCTCCAGCAAGAGCGGCTCCTCGTCGTCCATGGGGCGCGCGGGCCACCTGGGCAGCGGGGAGGGCGGCGGCGGGGCGGGCCTGCCTTTCGCCGCCTGCTCGCCGCCCTCGCCCAGCTCCCTGATCCAGGAGCTGGAGGAGCGGCTGTGGGAGAAGGAGCAGGAGGTGGCGGCGCTGCGCCGCAGCCTGGAGCAGAGCGAGGCGGCCGTGGCCCAGGTGCTGGAGGAGCGGCAGAAGGCGTGGGAGCGCGAGCTGGCCGAGCTGCGGCAGGGCTGCAGCGGGAAGCTGCAGCAGGTGGCCCGCCGCGCCCAGCGCGCCCAGCAGGGCCTCCAGCTGCAGGTGCTGCGGCTGCAGCAGGACAAGAAGCAGCTGCAGGAGGAGGCGGCCCGGCTGATGCGGCAGCGGGAGGAGCTGGAGGACAAGGTGGCCGCCTGTCAGAAGGAGCAGGCCGACTTCCTGCCCCGGATGGAGGAGACCAAGTGGGAGGTGGGGGCTGGGGCCTCTGTCCCCCTCCCTTCCGTCCTTCTGGAGAAAGCCAGGGAGGGACTGCCCGGGACGGAGGTGGCCGAGAGGCTGCCTTGCGCTGCTGTGTCTTTGATGGTTTTTTTTCGGGTCCCACCCGGCAGTGCTGAGTGCTAGTCTTGGCTCAGAGCTCAGAGTCACTTCTGGTGGGACGGGGTGTGTGTGGGGGGTGGGGGACCCAGGGAATAAACCCAGGCTCCAGCATGAAGGGAAGCGCTCCAGCCCTTGGAACTGGCTTCCTGGTGGTTCCCCCCCTTTTTTTTTCTTTTTGGGTCACACCTGGCGATGCACAGGGGTTACTCCTGGCTCATGCACTCAGGAATTACTTCTGGTGGTGCTCCGGGGACCATATGGGATGCTGGGACTCGAACCTAGGTCGGCCGTGTGCAAGGCAAATGTCCTACCTGCTATACTATCACTCCAGCCCCCCCCCTTTTTTATGGGGGTGGGAGATGTGTCCTTGGAGGTGTGGGCGGACATCTATTCCTAGCTTGAATCTTATAGTACTAAGGATTGACAAACTTGCAGGCTATCGAATGTAGCCTGCCCACAGGGCAGAGTCTGGCAAACTCCCTGTGGCGTACCAAATATGCCAAATACCAGTAACAATGATGGGTCTCATTCTCCTAAAGAGCCTTGAATATAATCTCAGGGCCAGGATGAAAGAGACGTTACTGGGGCCTGCTCGAGGCAATCGACGAATAACAGGATGATGAAATGAAAAAATGAAAAAAAAGGATTGAGGCATGCACCCCAGCCCTCTTTTGGGGTGGGACTCTCCCCATAGTGTGGGGGAGGAGGGAGGTGTCACACCTGCTGGTGCTGGGGATCCAATCCTGGGCTACTGCACACAAAGTAAATGCTCCAGCCCTTTCAACTGGCTCTCTGACCCCTGTGGTCAGTTCAGCTGGCCCTGAGCCCTGGGATAATTGGGTGTCTCTGGGGCTGGGTGCAGGCTGGGGTGTGGGGGGCGGGGAGCCAGGCTCCGCCTTCACCCTGGCCTCTCCTCTCTGCTGACCCTGCCCAGGTGTGCCAGAAGGCGGGGGAGATTTCCCTCCTGAAGCAGCAGCTGAAGGACTCTCAGGCCGACGTGTCCCAGAAGTTGAGCGAGATCGTGGGGCTGCGCTCCCAGCTGCGAGAGGGCCGGGCCTCCCTGCGCGAGAAGGAGGAGCAGCTGCTCAGCCTGAGGGACTCCTTCGGCAGCAAACAGGCCAGCCTGGAATTGGCCGAGGGGGAGCCGCCCGCTCCCGGCGGCCTCAAGCCCGCGCTGAGCCCGGTGGAGCCGGCCGAGCCGCAGGACGCGCTGGCCGCCTGCGAGAGCGACGAGGCCAAGATGCGCCGGCAGGCCGGGGTGGCCGCCGCCGCGTCCCTGGCGTCCCTGGACGGGGAGGTGGAGAACGGCGGGGACAGCGGCACGCGCGCCCTGCGGCGGGAGGTGGGGCGGCTGCAGGCCGAGCTGGCGGCTGAGCGCCGGGCCCGGGAGCGCCAGGGCGCCAGCTTCGCCGAGGAGCGCCGCGTGTGGCTGGAGGAGAAGGAGAAGGTCATCGAGTACCAGAAGCAGCTGCAGCTGAGCTACGTGGAGATGTACCAGCGCAACCAGCAGCTGGAGCGGCGGCTGCGGGAGCGCGGGGCGGCGGGGGGCTCCAGCACGCCCACCCCGCAGCACAGCGAGGAGAAGAAAGCCTGGACGCCCTCCCGCCTGGAGCGCATCGAGTCCACCGAAATCTGACCCCCTAGCTGGGCCTGTGGCCTTTGGACAAAGTCTCTAGCACCAAAGGCCAGAGTCCCCCCAGTTCCCTCCCTCCCCCGGCCAATCCCCGTCCCACCATCTCTCATCCCTGCACCCCGCCCCCCACCCCCAGATCCCCAGACCAAAGAGGTTCTCAAAAGCAGCTGTGACCAGGTCCCTCCTTTCCCTACCCTCTGGGCAGCCCTTGGCACCTCCTTCCCAGGAGGGATGAGGGAGAGGGCAGAGCAAGTGGGGACAAGTCCCGTCCCCAGCCCCTCACAGCAGGGGAACCCACTTTTCTTGGAGATGGAGGCAGCGGCCTGCAGGCCACCGGGAGGTGTCCTAGCCCCCATTGGGTCTGGGACGCCCCCATGGGCCACCCTGTGTCCAGTGATGTGTCTCTCTCAGCAGCCTGGCTGAGGGGGCCGGCAGGGGCCTGCCCTGCGAAGCTGATGAGCAGGCCTTGGGCTTGGGCCTCTCTCCTTCCTGGCCATTCTCCCTCCCAGGGCAGAGTGGCCGCTCAAGGAGCAGATGGTGGCCCGTGGTTGAGAGGCTGTGCCAGCCCCTCCCCCCCAAGGTCACCTGAGCGAGTGGCTGCAAGTTTGTGTGGAGGAGAAAGGGCGGGGCTGGAGGCCGCTTGCCCAGGGAATGGTTGCCCTCCACGGGAAGGCTCACCTGGAGGCGTCTTAGCTCCCCACCCCCCCTTCCGGCCTGGATCCATCGGGATCTTCAAGGGATCTCAGGGATCCAGGCCACTCTGTCTGCTTGGCTGACCCCACACCCAGGGCCCCTGTCCGGCTCTCGTTGCAGTGACGCGGTGCGCTCTGCCCTCGCCCAGTTTCTGAGGTCCTACAAGTGTCTGTGCCGTCTTCCGGTGTCCCACCCCCTTCTCTGAGCGCCCCCTGCCTTCGCCCCCAAATGCTTCCGCTTTCCTGCTCAGAATATCATTGTCCCACACCACCCCTTCCCCACACCTCACCTTTTTCCGGTAGGAAATTCTGCTTGTTCTTTGGTGCACTGCCCACTTCCTAGCTCCCCTGGGCCCAAGCCTGAGCCCGAGGCCCTTGTTTGGGGGGCCCCGGGTGGTGGTGGTTGTGATTATCCTTGAAGAACAAGTCTGACATGAGTGAGAGAGAACCGCTGGCCCCAGCGTATGCCCAGGGTGGGCCTGGCCTGGCCATCCCTGGGGGTCGGGGTAGCCAGGGGCACTTCCTCTCGAGGCCCTCTCAAAGGTCCATCTCCCCCAGACAGGAAGGGAAAGGCACATTTCTAATTCACCAGCAATAAAAATTGGAGGAGGCTTGGCCCTCAGCCCTTGTGTTTCTCTTTCCACTCTCTCCCATCCCCAAGATTGGGTCTGGGGATGGGGCAGAGTGGACTGAGTTGGCAACTACTGTGAGCAAGTGCCCCACCCCTTGACAAGCCTCCTCCCATGACTGGTGACTGTTTAATGAGCTGTGCGTGCCCCACAAAGCAGAAGTGGCCTCTGTGTGGCCTCTCGTCCTTGCACAGCGCCCCCGGGAGCCCGCACCCGCTCACTCACATGCACAGGGAGGTGGGAGGGGGGCTATCCCGGCAATCACTGCCCGTTCCACTCACCCCTCACTGGGCCAGGGCCAGAGGGGCAGGGGAAGAGAAGGCATTAGTAAGAAAAAAAAATAGACAAAAAATATGAACAGACTCAGCTTTGGGACTTCCAATACAAAAGAAATTATATATAAATATATATAAATATATATCTCTACCATATGTGATGGAAAGACTTCGTTTTCTTTTCCCAAAGAAATAAAATGGAGAAAGCCTCTTGAGTGGCACTCTGGGCCTGTCTGTGTCTTTGCAGGTGTAGGAGGTGAGGCCTGGGGGAGGGGGTGTGGAGGGCCACGCTGGAGTGAATGTTTCTACAGAAGATGCTCACTGGAGAAGGTGCTCAGAGGCGTGCATATAGATCGGCCCGGAGCTGAAGTGGGTGGTGGTTCTGCCCAATTAGACCCTCCTCTTTAGCTGCTACTGTCAACCAGAAGGTTTCAAGCCGGTCTCAGCTTTGAATCTGGAAATAGGCTGCAAGAAGGCAGTTGATCTGGACAGCTGCAGCTGCCTGAGCTACCATAGATGGGAACGAAGGATGAAACAGTTTGCAATTCATGACAAGGTCCCCAGGAGGGAACCGTCATTTGGGAGTAGTGGCTGTTCTTTGTTTTTAGTTTTTTTGTTTGTTTTGGGGCCACACCCTGCAATGCTCAGGGTGTATGCCTGGCTCTGCATGCAGGAATCACTCCTGAAGGGGCTCAGGAGACCATTTGGGGTGCTGGGGATCAAACCCAGGTTGGCTGCGTGCAAGGCAAGTGCACCACCAGCTGTACTATTTCTCCAGTCCTATGCTAATTTTTGTGGGGGAGGTCACAACAAGTGGGTGCTCAGGCTTGCTCCTGGCTTGGTGTTCAGGGATCACTCTTGGGATGCTAGGGGATGACAGGTGGTGCTGGGGATGGAACCCAGGGGTAGCCATGGCAAACATTTTAATCCCCGTACTTTTATTCAGCCTGTTAATTTCTTGTCATTCTGACAAAGTCTCACAAATCAAGAGTGCCTTCTGCTACAAATAACACCACCTGATTTCAAATAGTGGTTTATTTTCTTCTACCCAGCCAAAAATATGGATGCAAAATATGGAAGACCTGTATTTTTCTGTCTCCTCCTCTCCCGTCCTTGGTGCACTGTCCCCTCCATGCCACCAGGTGGCCACCACCTCTCTGGGAAAGGATTAAGGTAGTAAAGGCTTCGCCATGAAAAGTGAATCTTGCCCAGAAGTGACCCAGCGGTTTCCCCTTTAAATGCTGCCCGCCCTGGCTCCTCCCACTTCAGAGGCGGTAGGGAATTGAATCTTTGGCACCGAGGAGCTGTATTGTCACTGCTGCTCCAGCAAGTCTATTTCACTCCCTGGAGACCAGCCCTTTCTGCTCTCCCCAGGCTCTGCTGGTAAGAGCTAAATCATTATCACCTATGATCCGGGTTTTGTCCTGATATTCTCCCTCCCGAAGCAGATGTGGCAGCCACTGGAACCCCAAATGTTCACTTTCAGGCAAACAGTGCCTGCAACATAGCTCAGGACTGTGGTGCTAAGCTTGACCCTCTGTGCAACAAAGTTTCCTCCCTACATGACAGGATGGTGCCTTGGAGCGTGCTTCCTCTCATCTATCACCTGTTGGGATCGGGAGTTCCCTAGCCCTGGGAGGCGCGGAGAGACCAGATAGACACAATTCCTGCAGGAGTAAAAACGGGGTTTATTTAGACCAGCATGCTGGGGCTCCGCAGCATACCCCAAAAATGGGCAGTGGCTGAGAGCCCCGAACTTCTTCAAAGGGGATCTTATATAGGCCTTCACTGGCCGTTACAGCAAAGCCCGCACATTTCATAGCCAATAGATTTGTAACAACATATACTTTCTTAACCAATCCATTTAAAAGTACCTCACTCCTTAGCCTATAGATTCAAAGATCAGCATTTACGTACATCGATTGTCAGCACAAGCAAGGTTATAGCTGGAATCATTAAGCCTTAGGTACTCTCCCTTGACCATCCTCATTTTGAGTTACCCAAGTCTGCAGGGTGCTTTCACTTAATCACTTAATCACTTAACTTCCCGTTAGTCATCGATTTGCTCGAGCGGGCGCCAGTAACATCTCCATTTGTCCCTGTCGCATGCTAGTGTAGCCCAATGGCATCTGTTCGCTCCGGGAACATGAAGGGCCTCAAACCAATCGTTCATGATCTTGACGAAGAAGTCTGACCATCTGGAAGGTAGGCGGCCACGCGGTCTTTTGACATCCCGTGGAATCCAGTCGGTAACAGCTCTAGTCCAGCGGTCGTCTTTAAATCTCATTACGTGACCAGCCCATCTGATTTTCGACACCTTGGCAAATGAGACAGCGTCCCTGATTCTTGATCGTCGACGGATGTCGGAACTCCGGATTCTTTCTCTCATTTGAGTGAAATGTGATATTCCAAGCATAGCTCTTTCTATTCTTCTTTGGAAGACCTGAATAGCGTTCTCATCCTGTTTGCGTAGGGCCCAGGTCTCTGAGGCATATGTTAATGCAGGAAGAACAGTGGAATCAAAGAGATGTACCAGGAGCCGGAGGTTCTTCGTCCTCTTAGCTATTTCTTCGACGTTCTTGAAGGCGTTCCAAGCCGCTCTCTTCCTCCTGCGCAGCTCGGGTGCCAGGTCATTTGTCATGTTGACCTCTCGACCTAGGTACACATAGCTGTTGCATTCGGAGATGGTCATTCCATTGAGAGCGAATGGGGCGTCAGGAACAAGGCTGTTTCTCATAAACATTGTCTTCGTAAGATTCAGCTGTAGTCCTACCTTTCCACACTCACGGTCAAAGTCGGCCAGCATTTGTGCCGCTTGGCTGATGTTTGGTGTTATTAAAACAATGTCATCAGCAAAGCGGAGGTGGTGTAGTTGCCGACCGTCTATCTTCACTCCCATTCCTTCCCATTCCAGTCGTCGCATGATGTTCTCGAGGGTGGCACTGAAGAGTTTCAGTGAAATGGTATCACCCTGCCGCACCCCTCTCTTGACATCAACGATCACTTCTTTGTAGAATGGTGAGATCCTGGTAGTGAATCTGCAATACAGCTCACGGAGGATCCTGATGTATTGGGCTTGAACGCCCTGATTGGCTAGGGCTTCCATGACCGCTTCCGTCTCAACAGAATCAAAGGCCTTCTTTAAATCAATGAACGTTAAACAGAGCGGCAGCTTGAACTCCCGAGAAACCTCAATGAGCTTGGTTATTGTGTGGATATGGTCGATGGTGCTGAATCCTTTGCGGAACCCGGCTTGCTCGCATGGTTGTCCTTCATCTAGTGTTCTGCTAATCCTATTTAGGATGACTCGAGTGAACAACTTGTAGATGACAGACAATAGGCAGATCGGGCGATAGTTGCCAATGTCATGGATGTCTCCCTTCTTGAACAGTAGTACGGTCCTGCTGGTTTTCCACTGGGACGGAACCTTGCATTCAGACAGGTAGCGAGTGAAGAGCCGAGCCAGTGTATTGATGAGTACTGACGGCAGTTTCTTCAGGTGTTCAGGTCTGACCTTGTCTGGGCCGGGTGCTGTTTGTTTCTTTACGGACGAAATGGCGTGTCGGATTTCGGAAGGGAGAACGTTGGGAACGACATATCCATCCTGTAGAATTTGGTATGTCGGCAAGTGGATATGGCTATCGAAGAGATTTGAGTAGAAGTCATGGATAATCTTCTCCATTGCGGTTCTGGAGGATGTGATGGATCCATAAGGACGTCGGAGGGCAGTCATCTTGGTCTTATAGTTGGCGAAGGACAGGCGGGTGCTTTAGTGAGACAATACATTCGAGGAAAGGGCAATTTCCCCCAACCACCCGCATCCTGAGTTATCCTTTACCCAAATCTGCAGGGTGCTTTACTGAGACAATACATTTCAGGGACAGTAAATACACCTGAATCCTGTCACACTTGGTTTAGAAAGAAGTTATGCCCTGTTCACTTTCCAAGTCCTCTCTCCCCCAGGTGCAAAGCAGCCAAGCAGTTTTACAGAAAGCAATGTTGCAAGTTAGCTAAAGTACACAAAAATTTGATGCCCTAATATGGATTCTTTCACACCCAGCCCTCAAAGCCTTCATAAAGCGGCAACTCCCACAAGAATGGTAGTCACTGCCTGAAAGATCTTTAGAGGGTCTCTTCCTTGTCTAGGCGTCATATCAGCTTTGGTGTGCACCGGGCGCTGGGAATTAAACTTCAGCTCCTAACAGGCTACACATTTACTTTGCTAGATGTAGCTAGCAAGGTGAAATCTTCTTCTTGCTAGCTACACATATTATTGTGTTGTTGCTACTGCTGTTGTTGCTGGGGCCACACCTGGAGGTGCCCAGGGCTTACTCCTGGTACTGCACTCAGGGATCAATACTGGTAGACTCGGCGGGGGATGGTGGTGGTGGTGGGGAACCATATGGGATGCTAATGGCTGAATCTGGCTGGGTCTGCTAGGCAAGCGCCCTGCCCGCTGTATTATCGTTTCGGTCTTAAATCTCTATTTTAGTGGCATGCTGACCCCTCATTGTACAGAGGGGGGAAAAAAATCTAGGCGACTTCCAATGGTCATAGAACCTCCAGGGGTAGCCTGGGATTCGAACTCCAGTTCGGGTTCTACGGCTTCAGAGCTGGCCCTCTGAGGCGGGGTTTCCCTTCCGCGGGTCCTAGACTCCCCCGGTTTCCGCGGCAACATCCTCCAGCGGCGAACGTCCTTGGGAAACGCGGGCAGGGATTTTTGGGCCTCGGCCGCTGCCGTCCCCGCGCAGCAGGCGGAAGGAGCCTGCGGCCGGCCGGAAGTGCAGGTGGGGAGCCCTGAGAGTGGCCCGGGGAGGAGTGGCGGCGCGGCCGTCGGGCGTGCGCAGGTGAGTGGCGGCGGCCACCTGGACGCTGGTCGGTGCTTCCTTTCCCCGGGGCCGGCGGGTTCTCCCGACCCGGCGTTTCCCCTGGGTCAGACCGTGGGCCCAGTTTGGGCCCCCGGCGCTCCACTCTGCACCCTGCAGGCTCGCGCCTCGGAGACCTGGGGACCCGGGGGTCGCGGCGCCTGGGTGGGGGCTCCCGGCTAGGACGTGGTGAGGCTTAGGTAAATTCTCGGCACCACGTGGATCTTCCCCGTTTTAAAAAGTCAGTTTTAAAAGTGGATTTTTCTCAGGATAGCGCGCTGTTGGGGTTGGAGCCCAGGGTGTCCTGCTTGTGCGCTTCACTCGTGAGCCCTCGTTCAACCGGGCGCAGTGCTGGCCCTGGCGGGCTTCGGGGACCAGAAGGGGTGCCGGGGATCAAATCCGGGCTGGCTGCACGCTAGGAAAGCGCCCTGCCCGCAGTACTGTCGCCCCGGGCCCACGACCCCATCTCTTATGCCTGGGCCAGAATGGTGGTGCAAGGCGCAAGGCACTTTTGCCTTGCATATTGTCGACCCCAGTTCGATCGTTCCCCCCCCTCCCCCCCGTGGCCTTCTTGAGTCCCGGAGGAGTGATCCCTGAGGGCAGAGCCAGAAGTCAGCCTTAAGCACCACTTGGTGTGCCCCCCATATCCCCCCAACAAAACAAGAAACAAACATCCTCCTAATTCCCTGTTTGGGGGAGCACCCCTGCTGATGATGCTGTGTTGGTTACTTGGGTTCACTTGGATACCGCTTTAGCCTATGGGGCTGGAAGCCAGGTACTATCTTTCTCTCCGACCCTTAAGACTTTTTTTTTTTTAAGTTACTAGAGTCCATAGTTGGTGGCAGGAACTCGGCTTTAGCCTCAGCGGCGGTGGTGTTCTGAGCTCCAGTCATTCGCTGTTGCTGGAATCTGTTCTTACTTTCTGTACTTGGGGCATATTGGGTGAATCAAAGAAAGGACTAGATCTAGGTTATGTATTTACCTGCTCTGAAGGACCTTTGGCAATTCAGGGGTGAAATTGTCCAAAGTAAAATAAAACAGATGAAAATAAAGTCTGAAAACTCAGTCCTGTATAACATAATTGAGAAAAGTTGTAAATGCCAGATGCAAGCTTTTGACACTTAAGTAGATCTGATTTGTCAGCATACTTTTTTTTTTTTTTGGCTTTTTGGGTCACACGGGTGATGCACAGGGGTTACTCCTGGCTCATGCACTCAGGAATTACCTCTGGCGGTGCTCGGGGGACCATATGGGATGCTGGGAATCGAACCCGGGTCAGCCGTGTGCAAGGCAAACACCCTCCCCGCTGTGCTGTCACTCCAGCCCCTCAGCATACTTTTCTTCCACATTCATTGGTTTCACCTTTCCTTCCTTTCTACTCTTCCCCCCCCCTCGCTCTCCCGAACCCCCCCCCCTCACACACACCCCTGGTTAGTGCTCCTCCTAGTTCTGTGCTGAAGGATGATTCCTGGTGAGGTTTGAGGGAGTAACCATATGAGGTGCCAGGGATCAAATTTAGGAAGACAATTTAGGAATCTCAATTTTAGGAAAACTGTATTTAGGACATCAGAGAAAAACAAGTGCATGATTGAACTAAAAATGATCAGTAGTTGAATTGTTTATTGGGGAAAATGTTTTTATGACTGTAGTACAGATACCAGTGTTGATTTTGTCAGTGCTCATCTGTCCTAGATGTTCTAGATGAACTGAGACAATGAGAGAATATGATTGTGTGCTCTGTTTTGGACCCTGAGATTTTCTAAAGAGAGTTTGATCAAAACTTTTTAAGAACAGGGACTGGAGTGATAGTACAGTGGGTCGGGCATTTGCGTTGCATGCTGTTGACCCAGGTTCAATCCCTGGCATTCCATATGGTCCCCCCAGCACTGTTGGGAATGATTTCCGAGTGCAGAGCCAGGAGTAACCTCTGAGCTTTGCCAGGTGTGAACCAAACCAAACCAAACCCAAACAAAAAAAGACCTTTAAGAACAGTGGCTTGAAAAGTATCATCACTGGGTTTCTTGAAGTAGGTCTTCCTAGACTTTCTTGCCCTTCTGATAGAGGAATAGTGGGGTCTTGAGAGGGCGGGGCTAAAACCAAAGACTTTCCCGTGGTTCCCTGGAACACCTGGAGTGGACAAGAGGAGGAAGATGTCCTTGGGGTATGTAGGGCAAAACTTTCCCAGATTAGTGTGATGTGCTGTTTCCATTAAGCCTGGTAACTAGAACAAAGTAGCAGGATGACTATTAACACTTGATTGTGGTTTTGTTTGCCTAGGGTATTTGGCTTGACCTAAATAAATAAGCACTTGTACTGTAGCTTCACCTTTATAATAGTGGACCTCTCTCTCTCTCTCTCTCTCTCTCTCTGTCTCTCAGCATTTTGGGTCACACCTGGCAACGCACAGAGGTTACTCCTGACTTTACACTCAGGAATTACTCCTGGCAGTGCTTGGGGGACCATATTGGCTGGGAATCGAACCCGGCTTGGCAGCATGCAAGCAAACATCCTTTCCGCTGTACTATCGCTCTGGCATGGGACTTTTCTCTTGTAGGATATCGTCCTGTGTGGAAACAGAAGCACAGAAGAATCTCTTAGTATCAGTCAGCATACTGTCAAAGACCTTTTAAAAACTGACCACACCAGAGACTTTCAAGCCTTGTAGACTCAGCAGGGGACTCCATTTCTAGTTATAGAGAACATTCTTGGTTCTTTTATTTATTCTTTATTTTTTGAGGGGCCACCCCTGGCAATGCTTCGGGGTTACTCCTGGCTTCGCATTCAGGAATTACTTCTGGAAGTGCCATGGGGACCATATGGGATGCGGGGGACCCAACACAAGTCAGCAGCATGCAGACACCGTAGTTGATGTGCTATGACTCCGGCCCTCTGTGGCAATTTTATTTGGGAAAGAGAAGTTTTAAAATCTTACTAGTGGGGCACAACGAGTAGGGTGTTTGCTTTGCACGCGGCCCGACCCGGGTTCTATTCCCAGTATCCCATATGGTCCCCCGAGCACGGTTAGGTGTAATTCCTGAGTGCATGAACCAGAAGTAACCCCTTTGCATCCCTAGGTGTGACCCAAAAAAAAGCAAAAAAAAAAAAATCTTACTAGTGCGGGTGGAGAGATAGCACAGCAGGTAGGGAGGGCATTGTTTGCCTTGCACTTGGTTGACCTGGGTTCGATCCCCAGCATCCCAGATGGACCCTCAAGCACCACCAGGAGTGATTCCTGAATTCAGAGCCCAGAATAATCCCTGAGCACTGCTGGGTGTGGCTTCCCTAAAACAAACAAACACAAAAAACCCCAATCTTTCTAGCAAAACGTTTAATCAGGAATCAGAACTGAGGGGTGAGATCTGGTCATTTGAATATGCTGAGCTTGTCCTGTCCTTCATCTACAGTTAGCATGGCTGCCTTCCTCTCCTGGCTCCCCTGCTGTAAACTCTGGCCCGCAGTTTAAATTGAAGCTATTCAGCTTGCTTAGACCTGCACCTGGAAGGTGGGAAGGTAAGGTTCTTCACTCCTTTGAAACACATGCTTGGGGGTGGCTGGACTGGGCAGTGCCTTTCTGGTGAGGACTCTACTCTAGAGTGTTGGAACATTGTATGACTGAGGCTCAGTCACCAGTAACTTTGTAACTCCTAGTGATTCAGTTATTTTCTTTTTCTTTTCTTTTCTTTCTTTCTTTCTTTCTTTCTTTCTTTCTTTCTTTCTTTCTTTCTTAAATAAAACCAAAAACTCTCCTGTGGTCCTTGGGACACCTAGAGTGAAGGAGAGAAGGAGGAAGGTGTCCTTGGGGTACATAGAGCAAAAAGGCTTTGTGCTGGATGTTAGTGGTCTTGGGACCTTTTGAGAAAGCATCAGGAATTAATGATAGGGTGATTCAAAGTGTCCTCTCCCTGGCTTTGTTAGGGGTCCTCTGGGAGTCTTTTTTTTTTTTTTATCTGTTTGGGCCACACCTGGCAATGCACAGTGGTTACTCCTGGCTCTGCACTCAGGAATTACCCCTAGCAGTGCTCAGGGGACCATATGGTATGCTGGGAATCAAACCCGGGTTGGCCGCGTACAAGGCAAACTCCCTACCCGCTGTGCTATCATTCCAGCCCCTGGGAGTCTTTAAGTAAGGTGGTGGTCCTTGTTTCTGGGCAGCCCTCTTCCTCTCCCCTCCCCAGTGTTTTTCTCCCACTGTTCTGCTTTATTGCTTCTCTGTCACCCTTGTTTTTCTTTCCTTTCCTTCTTTGCAGTACTCGAGTCCTAACTTCTGAAGTGGTTATAATTCAGACCTGTATATTCTAATATGATGTCTGTACAGGTACTATAAGAATTGCATGGTGAAAAAGTAAGTAGTTATTCTTTGTTTTTTGCAGTTTGACTCTGCACATCCCTAAGATTATTTTGCCCTTTTTTTTTTTTTGGCTTTTTGGGTCACACTTGGCAGTGCTTAGGGGTTACTCCTGGCTCTGCACTCAGGAATCACTCCTGGTGGTACTCAGGGGTGTCGGGGATCCAACCCAGATGGCCGCATGCAAGGCAAACACCCTCCCTGCTGGATTATCACTCCAGCCCTCTTTTTCCTTTTTCTTTTTTTTTCTATTGTTTTTGTTTTTGTTTTTGACCACATCCAGTGTGGGCTTACTTGGGGCTTACTCCTGGCTCTGCACTCAGGAATCACTCCTGGCAGTGTGGGATTGAACCCGGGTCAGCCCCATGCAAGGCAAGAGCCCTACCCACTGTCCTATTGCATCATACCCCTGATGTCATTCCTGTTGCTTGCTATCCATAAGGAAGCTCTATATTGGGGCTAGAATGATATAACACAGCCAGTAAGGCGCTTGCCTTGAGCATCCCATATAGTTCCCTCAGCACAGCCTGGAGTGATTTCTGAGTGCAGAATCAGGAGTAAGTCCTGAGCATTGCCAGATGTGCCCCCCCCACCCAAGAAAAAAGAAAAAAGAAAAAAAAAAGAAGCTCTGTAGACA